TTATCTGTACCATGCAAACTCAGGCTTTATTGAAGGTTTCTGGGACTTCAGCGCATATTTAAAGACACATGAAAAAAGGTCTACACATAAACTAAAAAAACTGTTGATGCTTTACAAGTTTGATGGCTCAGGGACAATCTTTGTCACGCTTCCTTGGAATTGTTCCAAAGCATCCCTTTAATACAGCTACATGTCTTCCTACAAATGTGCATGAATGTTGCAATAAATTGTTAAAACCTTGAAGCAAGAGCATAGACGGAAATACTAATGTTGCCTTCGCTGGGTCCTGCTAGCATTTTGCTAACAAGTGCAAAAGGATGCCAGTTGAAGCCGAATCCCTCTACAGTCCCTTGTGAGTGAAATACATTTGATGAAGGATCGCTGAGTGGTAATGCCTTTTACCTGGATTCCCCCTCATTAGCGTACATCAAGTAAAGTGAGAAGGACCTTTTTGTTTTGGGTCTGGAGCTATCAAACAGGGTCACACTAATCAGCCTAAATTAACCACCTTAGGCAAGATTGCTGTGGCACATGATGAGTGAAACGTCCTGCGCTACCTGAAACAGAAGTAGGCTAATCAGGAGCTGCTGATGAGTACATCCATATGCTCCACACGGCCTGGATGGTTGGACCGTTGGTTATCAGTGTGACCTTTCACCCTGGCAACACCCTCTCCGTGGCGGGATTGACCTTTGACACTGGGATGATCCGCTGATGGCATTTATTGTCATGCCCCATTTCCACTGAGGCTGTCCATTTGGGTGTGATGGAATAGGATTGGAAAGGTGACCCGGTGCTCCTCAGAGGCTCCTGGGAGTCTGAGATCATGGCTGCTTGTTCAGTGAGTGTAATGAGTATAAGTCTGGCCTTTAAAAACTCAACGTTTAACTGTGGTCATGATAGATGTCTGGCCCTGTTCACCCAACTTACAGCTCACTTCCTTAACCCATTCATAACCACATTCACTTTTTCTCCCAGAGCTTTTTTTTTTCTCCCCCATTTCTGTTTCTTTCATTCTGAATCTTTCTTTTTTTTTCTCACCTAACTGTGAATCTTCCTTCCTCCCTATGTGTTTTTTATTTTATTTCCCTTGACAATTGCTCTTGCCTTTGCTTCACACTTCCTGCTTTCCCCTTCCCTCCCTTTCTTATTGTCAGGCTATCTTGTCTTTTTCCCTGATGGCTCATCAAATGAAAGAGCTGCTATCTGTGCCCCCAGTCTGGACCTGTGTGTGTGTGTGTGTGTGTGTGTGTGTGTCTTGTGTGTCAGACAGTTTGCTCCTCATAAGACTGAGGCCCCCAGGCTAATGTCACAACAGTCCTCTCACACATTTCCTCAGTCATGCTGCATGCTGTACGACTGTGCAGTAACTGGAGCCTACGGTCCTCTTGAGTCAATTCAGTTAGATCAAAAGCTGAGACATATAAGAACTCGATTGAATAAATCTAAACAGTGTGCATTTGAAGTGATTCATGATGGACAATGAGCTGAATCAACTTCATGAATCTTACTGAGAGGGATCATCCTTCCTGTTTTTGTGTCTGGTGTAAAATATCATACAGTAATGTGTCTGTGTTCCAGTAAGTAGGAACTATATTAGCTTGTTTTGCTTTTTGATGTTAATGGAAAAATCTAGAGAACATAAAAGTCTTACAGTTTTGCAATAATAAAATCTCTTCTTTTGTAACCTGCAGCTAAACCAATCAATGTGCTGGCTGAGCTGAATGTCAACTTAACCTCTCACCTAATTATTTGAGGGTATTCTTGCACAGTTTGCAACGCTTCACATTCATCAGTTCTAAAGATCTTGTTAAGCTCTAATTGTGTTGCAAAGCTGCTGGCTGGACCATACATTGTGTTTCCTGCCAATGAAGAGATTTTTTCATGTGCAAGCAGGTCTGTCATAATAGACCAAATCTATAATAATAACAATAATTATAATCCCGGTTACACTGTATCATTGGGATTGTCTGATATAATTGGGATCTTTCATAACAACTGTTTATCCACTATCCCAGCTGACACTGGTTTCATTGTTAGGAGAAATAAACAAAACTATTATCTGTCCGTACTGTTCCACCTTTCGGATATTTAGCAGGCTGATAAAGTTTATACCCCTTAAATCACACATCAATGTCCTGTCTTGTATCTGATGTAAGTAAACTGCTCTTCGATCCTCTAAAGACATGTGTGTATTGTGATATTTATATTAGGCTCATTCAGTAATGGTGGCATAGAAATTGACACTTGAACAGCTCACTTAAATTGATTTAATAACGATTGATTGCCAATTAAGTCATGAACAGTCACTGTGCAACGATTGTTCTTCCTATGTTTACAAGGCCTAATTGTGCCAGCAGAATCAAAATGTGCCGCTGGTTATGTATTATTACTTATGGCAGGGCAGCTGGTGCTACGGTTTATCAGGGCTTTCTCATATGACCATGAAGTCAGCCCAAGTACACAGTAGTCTGGAGAGACCAGAAAAAATGATTCATCAGTTGAACAAGTTAAACAATCTTCAAAACCAAAACCAGACTCTCTTCACTTTCTGCACTGTATTTCTGTCATTCTCAGCAACCAAGTAATGGCCATATCAAACTATTTAGCAGGGGTAATGTGCTCCACCTACAGAGGACACAGAGGACAGTTGGGGTATTTATTATTTGATCTCCTATTTGTAATAATCCAAAACAGATGGGAAAGTCCTTGTAGAGGAATCAGATTTCAATTAGACACATTTTATATCCTTATCTCTGTTTTTGTTCTTATTGCCTAAAATCTTACCAGACAAGCAACTTCTTACATTTCATGTTACACATACCCCCATGTTACCAATTTGGTCTCTAGCAACTCAGCATATTGAAAGGATTGGGAAAAAAATAATGCCTCTTCTCAGTACTTTGTAGGACAACTGAGGTCTTTGATACAGAAACATCCCTAAAATGTGCTATTAATACCCCACTTTTGGTTGTCCATTTAACCCATTATCATATTAAGTCATTCTAACCCTGAAAACTGAAAAGTGGGGCTTTTAAGCAGACATGTTTAAACATGTTGAACAAGTAAATTCAATTAAACCAAATATGTTGCATTCACACGCACCCACTCAGCTCACTGTAGTGGTCCTTCAAGTCATTTGTGATGCTAAAAGCCATTCAAAGCCCTATTCGCATGTGTGCATTCAAACAAGAGACACCCCAGGTGCGGAATGTCTCTTACTTTCAGTTATTAAGGAACTGAAAGAACAGGTATGTTCCGTTTTGGCCGAGATTTAAATCATTTTTAGACTGTCAATAGGCTGAGGAACTAAATGTAGAGCTTTTGTTCAGCCGCATAATGTCCCAACGTAATCACCATGGAATACTTAACATCCAAAGTGATGCTAATTAGAGATTTAATTGAGATGATTATTGTGTCAATTGATGCTAATGGATTAAGGATCATTATGGCATCAGTGGTGGGGAGACACAAAAATGGCTACAGACGATGTGGTTCCATGCTGCGTCACAGAAAGATAACAAATGGATGTTTTCTGTGTTTAAACATCCATTTGTTATCTTTCTGTGGATACTGGAACTGAGGCAAAGCATCAAAAGCACCATCCATATTTTACACATGAAAATTTGTACATTCGTCATGTAGCACTGTAACAGCTGCCACAAATATCTGCCTGAATCTGGATTGACATGAGATATTTGAGCTCAGATTACTTGGTTATGTAGTTAGGCTGCAGGGAGCTTTGAGAAATAAATCAGCTGTCACAGTGATGTCATCTCTGCTTGAGCCCAGAGCTCTTTGGGGTTTTTTTTTTCGGGTTTTTTTTCAAGCTACAATCTGATGGCAGAGATCTAAAGATGTGAGCTATTATGAGACCATGAGGGTCTACGGAAAAGATTACATTAAGCCCCACAACAGAAAGTGCAGACTCTATTTTGGTATAGTTCTTTTACTGGTGTGTCTCCTGCAAATCTAAACTTTTTCAAGTGACAGACAGGAGACATTTAAATGTTTTGGTGTCTGTCCTTCAGAATGACGAGAACTTATGGTGTTAAAATGTATGATTGCATGTAGAAGTTCAAGCCGCCATGTCACAGTTTTTCCTTCACAAACAACATCTATGTCCTTATGCGCTTTAGAGTGAAAAAGAAAAATCATGATGGAAAACTCTAGGCAATCCATATGGCTTAATGAACCCATTAAAGGAAAGTGTACGCCAGCAGTGGTACCACTAAGAATTGGCAGTGGAGTACTGTTAGGGGAAAGTCAAAATTCTTCGAGACTTTCAGTAACTCACTCCTAAAAAATAAATAGAAGCTCACGAAATAATTCAATGAAAAGCACATCTTTCTACCTGTTGTATGAAACTTATAGGATATGATCTAAAACACAGAATAAATCCAAAGAGAGAGCCCAAAAGCGGTGCACTCTTAAGGTGTTTTGCCATGGGCAAACACATTTCCTCTGAACTCCTGCAGATCAAATGCAAAAAACCAAGGCTAAAGGATAGGACCTCAAATTTCACAGAATTAAAAACCGTTTCAGGAGAAATGGGTAAATCGTCCCACGATTCACAACTAAAAGAGCCTTTGTTGGCTTTTAAAAATTTTTTAAACTCTTGCAGATGGGTGTATAACCATATAATCAATGGCAATTTACCCAAACTTAATATGTTGTTTTTTTTAATCTAATACAGTTACATTTTGTGAATGTCATTGTGTGCAAAATACCACAGCAATATGTACAAACATCACAGCAATCAACAGCTATTCTGAAAATTGGGACCAGGCAACATTTTGTATTAGTATCCAGGACCTAAAACTGGGAGGCAGAGGTTTTAGACTGATCATGACCAGCAGCCGTGAGAAGTAAAATGTTGTATTTCTGGGCAGGAAATGATACGCCATCGAAAATATCTGGTTTCATCTCTTGAGAACGACCAGTTGACGTTAAACAGCCAAATAATTCTAGTGTGAAAAAAGATTTGCATTCTTCATCTGTCAGTGTGCTGCTTTTCTCACCTTCTGCAGCCGTCCACTCCTGGTGCCCAGGAAGACCACGTTGTGTCCATTGAAGATATAGGAAGTGACAGAGGTCAGCCTGTCTCTGCTCTCAGTGAACACCGTCTGACCCGACACCAGCTGGGAACCCCCCAAGGGTTGGTTTATATCCAGGCCACAGAAATGATCGTCAATGGGAACAGGCTGTGAGGAGAGGCATGATGTGAACATGGAGAAAACACTAAGTAAATACAAGAAGAAAAAGACCTCGAAACGACGACTAAGAAGGAAATGGGCAAGGAATGAAGTTGGGGGATTAAAGGAGTTAACTGGAAATAAATAAAGAGGGGGGTTAGGAGCATGAGCGGGGGACTGAGATCACTGTAGACACATGTAAATATAGGATGAGAATTCAGACTGACTTCTGGTGCGTCTAACAAGCATACAGTGAACAGTTTTCAGGGTTAAAAGTGTTACATCAAAAGGGTTTGGGCTGCTGGGCTTCCCAACAAGCCTTGGAGCAGTAAAATTTATAGAGCAGACTTAATTGCTGATGGCAACATGAGAAAACCCTGTGTATCTCGCACATCTTACTGTGATTTTTAGATCGCTTGATCTGACATCACACAAACACATAGCACATCAGATTTCAGGTTTTTATTAAACATCAAGGCCAGCTGCATGCTTTACAGTCCAGCTGGATCTACTAACATGCACCTCAAACCTCTGCTAATTGCCTGTCACTTAGCATATGGAAACATCTTTTTTGGGCTGTTAATTTCTTCTTTCAAATCCCCTACTTTGTGTGCCCTTATTATGTACTTCTTCCTCTGCAAAGTTATGTACCTGGGTTTTACTGAGTGTGATTAGTGAAGTGAGCTTAGGACACCCCAGCCGACTCTTTCCCTTCAAAACTTCAAGATTAGAAATCTCTTTTAAGGCTCTCATTTCTCTCCTTCTTGAATATTATGCATGGGAATTTTCATTAAGTTCCAAAAGGAAACAGGGCCGACCAAATACACTTGAATAAATTGTTACTGTCATTTTTCCCCCCACTGGGTTGCATTCATTTTTACCACTTTGTTTTTATTCAAATGAAAGTGTAAGCACAATTTGATAAGACTCAACAGTAGTAAATTTATCTGGAGTGGCACATTTACTTAAATATTTGTTCTGAAATGGCTGTTATGCATACATTTAAATACTATCCACCACTGGTTTATATGACATCCTAACACTATAACATTTAGAACTGAACTGTTTCTTTAATACATGGTAAGTAGTTTTATAAAAACACAGACTTGACATTCTTTGCCAACATGATTCAGCTGATACCAGCAGACAATTAGTGTTCACGGCTAGAATCTAATCAGAGTGATTGCTTGACCGTAGCTAAATTCAACTGTGATGCCAAATCACAGCCGAAACTAATTACTGCTTGTAGGATTAAATAGAGCAATGTTAAATCCGGCTCGTTCCTGCAATCTAACAATCTAAGATTTCAGATATAAGAGTATCATAGCCATTGCAATACCAGGTGAGGAGTGTTATAAAGTTTTGGAGACACAGATTTTGGGGTATTTCCATCTTAGTCTTCCAGGAAAATGCATTATAGCTATGTTGTTTCCATATGTCTGACACACTGTGGTCCCAGTAAAAAGACCAAAATTTTGAAAAGGCAATGTTTTCCTTATCCCTGTCATTTTCTCTAGGGTAGTATTCAAAATCACAACTGACATCCAATAAAAAGATGACGGAATTTAATGGTGCAGTAAAGTAGTTATCACATATTTTGGAACAAGAATGCATCTGTATATTGGTAGAGAAATATTCGTTTTGACTATTTGGGCTGTGCTACATGGGATTTTTGTTTTGCCTGTCCAATGCAATGTATTTCTTGTGCTTAGCGGATGCTGACTGCCAACAAGGAATTCTTGTAAAACAAATGGGAATCTTATCAGCCTTTTTTTTTCTTAAAGCCAACATATTTTAAAGCCATCAGTGTTGGTCCTGACAATTTGTGTCAGTAAAACAGAAAATAATCATCCTGACATTTTCAAAAAGTGATCATTATGATTATTGCTGGAATTAAAATCTCACTGGCTCATCTATGTACTCACTCTACAGTAAACTCTGTGTGACCAGTTAGTCGTGGGTCCAAAATAAATTACGTGACACAGAAAAATCTTGATGTGCAGTTCAGATGCAAAGCCTTCAGGTAATGTGAAGCAAAAGTACATTTTTTAATAAGTATGTATCCATCAGTTGCTTTTATGAATAACTGCACATGTTATTTATTTGATAGCATGGCAGTACAAGTCAGGGATCACCAAAGCAATTCATGTGATGGATATCTTTGTTTTCACGACTCGCTTTCAACTTATTTCCACAAGGACTGCTCATTATGCAGAATTATAGCTTTCACAAAGGCTCAGACTTGGACATTTACAAGAAAGCCCTTTTCTTAAGATCAAGAACAGGTCTCAGAGGGTTCAAGTACTGCTGACAGCAACAAGAAGGGGAGGAAGAAGATGGGGAGAGCGAGGGAATGAGAAGGGAGGAGAAAGAGGTGGGAGTCGGTGCCCAAACCTCTAAATGATATCAAAGCTCCATACAAAACTCCCCTGATTAGCATTGTGAAATTAATCTCCCCCAGCTCTTCTGCTCTAATAGGATCCTGAATCCTGAACGATTTCCTCAGCGTTGCACAGTTTGCCTGCCTGTAAGGTACATCGCTGCCATCAAAGTTTAGGGATATTATAATTACCCGCACAGCCATCTTTGGAAATGACGGAAAACTCATAGTTGGCTAAAATAAACGCCAGTCGTGGGATGGGGGTCAACATCTTTATCTACTGTGCACCTACCGCCTTGGTACACTGCACGTCCTTTCCCAGCAGCCAGTGCAGCTCCAGGTTTCCCTCTCCTTGGTAGCAGGACTGTAGCCGTTCTTTAATGCGCGCGTTGATGTCTTGGATGGTGAAGATGCAGACAGCGGAGTGATCTGAAGGGTCATGGTACTGCTTCTGTCCCTTGGAGAACACCGCGAAGAGCACGTCCTCCTGGGCACTGATATTAAGCGACCTGGCCAGCACCCTGCCAGCCTTGGACAGGTAAGCCGCCTGGAGCAGACGGTACTCCACGCCTCTGTGTACGCACCCCACGGGAAGGGACACGTACGAGTGGAACTTCTTGTCACCTTTGCAGAGGCGGATGATGCGGGACGTGTAAAACAGGTCGACCGGGGAGCTGCCCGCGGGCATTCCATTCTCCGGAGTCTCCGGCTGGACGGTCATGAAGTAGACAAAGCTTCCGCTGGAGAAGCCGTAGACGTAGTAGATGTCAAAGTGCGGAACGAGGGCCAGCGTGTCCGAGGGGATTTTGATTAGGGATGAAACAAAGTCAGTGTGAAGCTCGTAGTCCAGCATGGCGGAGGATTCTGGGTCACGGGGGAGCTTACGGCTGGAGATGGTTGGGAAGTAATCTTGCTTGCCGCCAACCGCGGTGCCTATATACAGAGTGGCATCCTGACCCTGGGAGGGCACAACTACGCCGTACATGGTCCCTGTCTGGTTGTCGCTGGACAGATAGTGCTCTTTCTTATGCGTGGGCTCCACAAGGATAAATAAGTCATCCAGCCTCATCAGCTTGCAGACGCCCTGATAGAGACTGCCACAGGCCAGCAGCCGGTTGTGAGAGTAGTCGATGAGCAACAGTTTGTTGACGTTGTCCGTGGAGGCCAGGGGCTCAGAACACGGCTGGACAATCAGAGGGGGGTAGCATGCTTTGTTATCATATTCTGGCCCTGTGTCGTGAGACACCAGGAGGGTGAGATTAGCAGACAACTTGTAGATTCTGTTGACGGCTCCCACGTACAGAGCCCCAGTGGACTGATGCACCGTCAGATGGTTTAATGACCACTCCTTCCTCTCTGATTGAAATGTGTTCATAGTCTGTGCAAGAGTCGTCTTTTGATTCACCCAGATCAGTAGCCACAGGGCAAAGGGCCATGACATGACCTTTAGAGGACAGTGACCCGTGACCTGGCGGTGGTAAGTCCATCGTTTATTCCGGCACATCTCCATCCCCGCAGGGCTCCGAAAAATGCCCAGCTCAAACAAGTGGGACAGTGTGCCACTAAGGAGAAGCACTGCGCCGAAGAAGATAGGGATTAGCTGTGGTCTTGTCCTTCTAAAACGATCTTCACATCATTCTGAAAAAGAAAAAAGGAAAACAAGGCGTTTATATTTGAAAAATGACAAATCGTTCGAGAGTGACACACTGCCTTCAAGATATAAGAGGTTTCATCTAAAAAGTGAGACATTACATGTGCACATCATCTGCTTTAACTCTCTTTAGTCAATCAAATGAGAGATCGAAGGAACAAATAATCATTTGTTGAAACTGTCTACCCATATTTAGTTGCCTGAAAGATGTTCCAATACTCCCCCTTTGAACAGGGGGACTCATTATATTTGCCTCTTTGTAAACGAAAACTAACCAGCCTTCCACTTGAACACAAAGCTCAGCACAATGCAATAGTGTGTCCCGTCTGTTTGGGTGGCTAATTACATGATCCAAATGTATTAATTATGCATACATATTTTGGGCTTCCTGTTTTTCCGTTCCCCCTCCTCCTTGTTCGTTTAAATGGTTGAATCCAGGAGGAATTAATCACTTTCCACTGCGGCCCATTCCTAAATTAATCAGGCTTTTCCCTGGGACGGCATGGAGTCATTAGAGATTCCGAGTCGGGCAGCATCAACTCTCATTTCCCAGTTTAATTTCATTAGCATATTTCGTGAGGATAATTCCACAGGACAACCAATGTCCATCAAACACATGACTGACTGAAAGATGGATATGTTGCCCACATGCATGTGAAATGGGCTTACTGGTTTTACCTTATTTCCTCCTGCCTGTTCAATGTCTTCAATGATGTTCATTAATGGGATAAAAAAATTAAGACACCCACATCAGCCTAAATCTGTCTTTGTTTCACCAGAAGCTTCTCCACAGCCCTCAAAGGTTGTTTCTTTCTGTCGTTCATTGTCTCCATTATTGCACACAAGCCACCTACACTCTCTTTTAAGGCATTGTCAATCAACCTGACTCACACAGATGCCTCTTTAAATTTCCTGCTCAATGCTCAAAGGTTTCTCCTCATATCCAACTGTCCTTGTTGGCTGCCGCTAACATAAACAGGGTGTTTTCTCAGTCAGACTTCCCGGTTTAAGTAAAGGTTAAATGAAGACAGCCATGTCAGATCTTAATGCGGGGGTCATGATACGGTGGGTGCTCTCAATTGGCTGACTAACAGGACGTCCAGCTGAGTTGAGCTCTAGCCAGCCAAGGAGCGGATGGACTGATACTGAGCAGGCTGGGCTGACTCCAGCTCCACTACAGCATCTCCTGTCCATCTGTCCCCACCACGCTCACAAAGGGGGGCAAGTCACTCAAGAGTCTCGACCTACTCTGCTCAATTTGGCAGGCACAGTGTGAGCGACTCCAGTAGTAATTGGATACTGAATGGTGATAACTGTCACACACTGTACTGCTGCATTTACATTACAAGTTCAGTGTTTCCTTTTCTTGATTAATTGATCTTATATTACTTAATATGAGAGAAGATCCTTATCCATTTCTTTCTCTGACTGAAAGTAAACACTTACGAGTTGTTTCTACTAGTTTTCTAGTAGACATGATTCAGGAGAATATATTGAATTTAACATTGCATTATTTTGTTTAGGGAAAAACATCCAGTAAGTTCTCTTCAAAAATCCCTCTGATCATTCCGAAGCATGATTTTCTGTTTGACTTTTTTAAGTGAAAGAAAACTCAGATATTGTTGCCATGTTTTGAACAAAAACAGAGACTCTATCTCATAAGCCTAGCCCAGTGGAAATCTGAAATCTTTGCACCCTGTTGTTCAAACCTTTTTCCTAATCTTTCTTTTGTTTTCAGTGCAAGATTTATTTATTTTTATATGATGCCATGCTGTGGTCCAAAAATCCATTTGAAAGTGGCTTACTTGGTTTGGTGCCACAAAAAAGTTTTTGGAATAAGCTTTCTCTGATTTGGCTTGTCCAGCAGAATTCTGTTAGTTTTGATCTTGTTTTGTTTGAATCACACAATGAGATCCCAGGTGACCTTTGATCCTATTTTGGGTCTTTTCCCAGAGATCTGTCCCCCTTTGAACAAAAGATAAATGATAAGACTGTGGGACTGTGAGACTGTGGATCCAACTATGAATACCAGATAAAAAGATATTTACAGAGCCAGATTTGGGCCTGGCATGACCTTAAACAACACACCCCGGCAGTGCCACTCAGAGGTTAATTCTTTGTTGAGAATAGCCCTCTAAAATCCTCTGAGGTGTTCCAGAACAGGCGAGAAAAACAGTAGCCGAGCCGGGCAGACATGCAGGAAAGCAGCCGCCTCATCGTTTCATCCATTTCTGTTCTGCTGGCTTTGGTCACGTCTAAGGCGCGCAGTCATGCTGCTCGGTGTTTACCCTGGATTATAGAGACAGCTCTTCACCCTGCGCAGCTCTCCCTGCTGAATTCCCCACCTCGCCTGCCACTCTCAGACATGCTCCAGTCCAGACGTGACTCATTCAGCCTCACACACAGGAACATGGTCCGCAGAGGCCGCTGGGGGTGCGGGCTCTCAGCGGGCACCAATCACGGTGCAAAGGAGGCAGGCGCCGCCCTCTCGTTCTCCACCAACAGAAACCTTTGACCTGGATCGAGATCAGTGCAACCACATCTCTCAGCTAGGTTTAGCTTTCGTTAAGGTGAAAGGCTGTCACAGCCTCTGTAGCACCTCAAAAGGCATGACTCACGGGACAGAAGGAATCATCAATTATTTTCATATTTATTTAATTGGTTTTACTGCCTGGACGGAACTAACTGTATAACATATTTAGTTAGGATATATTCTTAAAGCAAAAAATCCCAGTGAATTTAAATCAGTTTTGATTGTTTTTTTATGATCTAAAAAAAATTCCTCTATTTGAGGATTACAGCTTTGTTGGTTAATACCAAATATTTCAAATCCCAACTAGCCAAAAGTTACCAACAGTTAATTATGGTAATCTTTATTTTTGAACAATCTCATTTTGTGAATGGAATATTTTCAAGCACAATGAACAGGATGGCTAAACATGATTTTCTTATCTCGTAAAAGAATGACAGATTTAGGAGAAGCAGCACAGCGTTCAAGTTTATCTTGTTTGTGTTTCGGTATTATAGATTTGTGTGAGATTGGGAACACTGCTGACAGGCTGTGCCGCGATCTTTCCAAAGGTCAGAAGACAGATCTATGCTCTCACACTTAGTCAACAATAGGAGTCATTGCCACTCGCATCAGAGGTGATAAAAACTGTTTGTTTCATTTTTGCTGCTGCTGTTTTTCTGCCCTAGATTTATAAGGCTGCACAAAGGCAATAACAGTATGAGACCATGGGGGCGGAAATCTGTCGGAACTACAATAGTCATAACAGCTTCTGTCCTCATGATTACAATCTGGCCATGAAGGAGAACGCAGGGATTTTTGTTTCTTTAGATTTTGTGGAGACATGGAAGAAGTTTGTAAAGTTTCCTCTTGGACAGACTTAGATTTTGGGGGGTGAAAAAAAACTTGTAGTAATTCCAAACGATGTTTGTACGGACAGCTTTTGAACTCACGTGAGATACTTCTGTCTGAGGTATTCAGAAAAATGCACAAGGACTGAGTCTGCGGGGGGAAGGGACAGTGTTGTACACATTACACATGAATGGGTTGGGAGGGCGCCAGACGCAACAGAACTTGACTTCCAAATGAATAAATGAAGGCAATTAGTAGATCTGTTTACAATGTTGTGGAGACAGAAGTAGGTCAAACGTGGTAGACAGGAGGGAGGAGGGAGCCAAGGCCATGGGCTGTCCCTGCTACCTATAGCGATGAGTCTGGGAATTAGGACATGAAAATGCCGTCTTTATTAATGATGACTTTTAAATGAATGTCATATAGGATCACATGGGACCAGTGGGATTTATTAGAAGAAGCAACGTTTTGTGATCAGGCCACCGTGTTTTATCTGTGGCTACGTTGTGGCGGGCAGGCCCGGGGCGACCGGCTCTGCCTTCAAAGTTCCCATCACACAGACTTAGGCCTCAGAGGGCATAACGTGTAACATGAATGAATGCCCACACTGCAGACACCCAGAGGATATGTTCAACTTTAAGGCACACAGTGGAAAGCACGCCACAGCACTTTCCCCTGGTATTTTCCCTCAGATAGGATGGCGGATCTCATTACTATTATTTTTCTCGGAGTCCAAACACTGATACTTTCAAAACCATTTCATATAGCTGTAAATCCATTACTTATGTCAGCAGCTCCTCTGGCATGTCTGTCTGTTCAAGAACTGTTTATGTATCAGCAGACCTGACCCATAACTGCCTTTTCTCCAGTTGTTGCTTAGTTCATTGGTCAGCGGGGTTATTGCAGGTTTTAGGAGTCTCTAGCCAGCCGCTAATCTTGATGGTAGAGTACGGGAGGATGTCTGCAGGGAGCCGTAAAACAGCACTATGCCTTCGCAACACGCTCTGCTTGTATTAACTTTAGGATACTCCAGGGGGCATGGACACAAGTAAATGCGACATAGGGGATCAATTCCAACACATCACCACAACACTGTCAGCAGCCTGCTGTGCGATGCATGCCATTATCTTAGGCCGCATGCATTATACATGCAGATACACTACTATATCCGAAATTGCTGTTAAGAGCAGGGACCAAATGAAGGGCACTGCTTCAACAATCTTTCTCCCTTCCTTCCCTTGCCTCGGTTGTCTCCTCCACTATAAATCTTATTGTCGGCCTTTCCTGGTTAATGGCGACCTCAAACTGGCTCATCTCAACTGCCGAAGTCTATGCATTGCATATATGATGAGGGGTTGAGGGT